CCACTCCTCAGGGAGGGTAGTGCCTTCCAGGAGGGGTCAATGAAACCTGTCAAGTCATTTGGAGTAGGGACTAGGCCCTCCCTCCTGCCTCTAGGTTGAGGGAGTATCCCTCCATGGGGAATGTGCCCACAAAGTCCTATTGTGTACCAGGGATACATCCTGGTTCCACTGTCAGAGGTCCCTTAGACTTCCCAGGCCTTCTAACTGAGACCCATGTTCAGGGGGTCTGAGTTGGTCCAATGCTATTTTCCCAGCTATCAGTCTGGGGGCTCATTAGCTCCTTTGTGTTCAGGTCAACTGTCTCTGGGTTTCGGTAGCCTGGTCTTGTCCTCCCTCTCTGCATTTGGATTCCAGTTCAGCTCAGTATTTAGTTGTGGGTGTCAGCTACTAGATAAGGGCTTTATGATGGTGGATAAGTTCGTCATCAATCTCATTATTAGGGAAGGGCATTTAAGGTAGCCTGACAAAACAAAATAAATCAAAACAAAACAAAACAAAACAAAAAAAGTGTGATCTTGGGCAGTGGTGTTGACTGCATTCTTATATTGTTGTCTACCCATCCTTTTTTTCCAGGGTGTACTGGTGGGGTCTCACCCTCTCCTGGTTGGTATGGTGTAAGGTGTATGGGTTTTTTCCTCCCGCCGCTGGTCTTGTCCCGCCACTGCACCAGCCCCAAATAATGCGCTGAGACTCTGTATTTGATATAATTCTATTGGCCCATTACTAGTTTCTTATCGGCTATCTCTGTCTTAATTATTAACCCATTTCTATGTATTTTCACGTGGTTTCACCTACCAGGGAGTGGGGCAGGCGTCTGGTCTCCCCGTCTCTCCATGCTGACCCCTCCCTCCTACTTTCTCTTTCTTCCTCGTCTCCTAGTCCCTCCTATCTTCTTTTCCTATTGGCCAACAGTGCTTTATTCATTAACCAGTATGAGAAACATATACAGATTGACATCTCCCATCAGTATGGGAACCAAGATTCTCTTCTGCTTGTGCAAGCAGGTCCAATACTCTGATGGCTCTCCTCTTCCAGTGGGTAGAGGCAGGACTAGGATGCTGGCAGTCTCTGGATGGGCTAGTCAACCAGGATGAGTTTCCTGTGTGTGCAGTCCCCAGGCCTCAGGAGGCTCTGAACTAGACTCCAGAAGGCAGGCCAGAAACAGGCCCACAATTACCCTCCTCCCATTGGTGGACACGGAACTAGGATATTGACAGACTCTGGCTAGGCTTGTCCACCTGGTTGGGCTCCTGTCCCCCATGTACATGTATATGCAGTCTCTAGGCACTCGAAGGCCTCAGGAGGCTCTAGCAGGGCACTTGAAGACAGGCTCCTCCTGTGGGTGGAGGTAGCCGAACCAGGACACTGGCAGACTCTGGATAGGCAGCTCTGCAGGGACAGCTTCCCAGTGAGTGTGAATTCCCAGGCCTCAGGAGGCTCTGAAAAATAGGTGTTTATTTTTAGATCACTTTTAGTTTTGAAAGATAAAGTATAATGCATAATAAACTTTTATATTTAATTTTAATTGATGTGATTAATGTCATTGATAAGTCCTTGCGTTTCATAAAAGTTAGTATTATATTTCATTCTTCGGTGTTTATTAGCAAAGTTAGAATATAATGGGTGTGGTGAGTGCAACTAATTTTCCACATTTTAATTCACAAGTAGGGGCAAAATTTAGCTACAGAAAATGTCTTTAGGAAATGGACATTTTGTCAATGACCCAAAGTAGAATTAATTACATAAATTTTAGTATTCTGTGGGGTATGCAGATGAGGAAGACTGTATTATGTAGTACATTTTTATTTCAGTCTTAACCTGTGGACTCCAGGAGCTTGGCCCAGTGCTTAGTTGTGGATCTCTGCATCTGCTTCCAACAGTTGCTGGATGAAGGTTCTATGATGATAATTAAGGTAGTCATTAATCTGACTACAGAGAAAAGGCCAGGTCAGGTCAGGCACCCTCTCCACTAATGCTTAGGGTCTTAGCTAGGGTCATCCTTGTAGATTCCTGGGAATTTCCCTGGTACCAGGTTTCTCAATAGCCCCATAATGGTCCCTTCAATCAAGATATCTCTTTTCTTGCTCTCCCTCTCTGTCCTTCCCCCATCTTGACCATCCTGATCCCTCATGCTCTCATCCCCCATCTCCTTATCCCCTCCCCCTTTCCACCCTCCCTTCCTCTGTTTCCTTATAGAATCCAAGACCACCAGTGCAGTGATGGCACCACCCACCCTGGGCTAGGCCCTCCTCCCTTGATCACTAATTGAGAAAATGCCTTACAGCTGGAGCTCATGGAGGGATTTCCTTAGTGGAGAGATGATGGGAGATGTCATTCTGTAAATATGTTTTTCTTATAAAGCACTGATGGCCAATAGGAAAGCAAGATAGGAGGGACTAGGATACTAGGAGGATTCAAGGAAGTAGTAGGGAGGAGTCAGCATGTAGAGATTGGAGAGAGCAGATGCTGGCCCCACTCTCTGTAAGATGAGACCGCAAGTAACTGGCCAACAGAATTATATCTAATACAGAGTCTCTGTGTGCTATTTGGGGCTGGCATGGCAGTGGGTCCAAACCAGCTACAGGGAAAACCTTACTTATAACATATGACACCCAATGTGGGGCACGAACCCATGACCCTGAGATTAAGAGTCTCATGCTCTACTGATTGAGCTAGCCTGGCTGCTTTGAGATGTCCTCTGCCAAAGGAATTAATCCAAAACTCTTCACATTAGCCTCAGGCAGAATCTTCAGACAAGAGCAAAAACCAGCCACATTTTTCACCATGATATTACAAGAACAATGTCTAGGCAATGTGCTAAAATACTTCTCCTCTGAAACCTTTTGATCCAGCCTCCCAGAGTACCATTAAACAGCACTTTAAAACTTTCAACTGCTTTTCTAACCCACAGTCCCAAGGTCCATAGTCCTTCAAATGAAATCATGGTCAGGACTGTCACTGATATACCCCAGTCCCTGGTGCCAACTTCTGTCTTAATTGGGGTTTTTGTTGCTGTGAAGAGACACCATGACCACAGCAACTCCTATAAAAGGAAAATCATCTATTGGGGGTGGCTTACATTTTCAGAGGTTCAGACCATTATCATCATAGTGCTACAAGGTGGGCTGCAGGAAGACATATGTCTATTGGATTGTGAAGTTTTGGAGGGAAGTTTAAAGAATATTAAGACCATTTGGAAATTTGAATTAAGATTCTGTGGTTCTGGCTAGCTGGGGCTAAAGAATTGGCTGTGATTAACAAAATACCAGGACTACAAAAGCAAAACTTTGCTATGCTATGATATTTGATGCTGGTAAGAAATTATCCATGATTAAGAAGAGACCAGCATCAGTGAGGTGATATCTTCTGGGTAATATGTCCTGAGAACACAGAGAAGTTGTGTTCCAGATAGCTTCCTTCCTTTCTTTCTTTCTTTCTTTCTTTCTTTCTTTCTTTCTTTCTTTCTTTCTTTCTTTCTTTCTTTCTTCTTTTATTCTTCCTTCCTTCCTTCCTTTCTCTTTCTTCCTTGCTTTCTTTCTCTCTTTCTTGCTCTCTCTCTCTCTCTCTCTCTCTCTCTCTCTCTGTTCTTCTTCTTCATCCTCCTCCTCCTTCTTCCTTGAGAAAGGATTTCATTGCACAGCCTGGCTGTCCTGGACATCTCTCTGTAGACCAGGCTGACCTTGATCTCATAGAGACCCATCTGCCTCTGCCTCTCAAGTACTGGTATTACAGGTGTATGCCACCATCACCAGCTTCAAGTAGCTTTCTTATACAGTCTATTTCACCTGTTTAGTGCTGGCTATGGTGGGCTGGGTCCTCCCATGCCAATTATCAGCTAAGTTTCTCTCATAGACTTGGCTATAGGCCAGTCTGATAGACATTTCTTCACTTGTGGTCCCTCCTTCCAGGTGACTCTAGTCTGTGTCATGTATGGATTACCCAGTGTGTATGTGAATTGCTTCCTCTGTCTCTTTTTGTTTCATAGACTTTAGTATTGATATCTTCATGTTTTAGGTTGAGGGAATTTGCTAATAGTAGTCCTGGAGTAAGCCTCTCACTTTGAAATGCTCAGAAGGATTATACAATTTCTTGGGGACATGGTAAGTTGCCTGCCTGGGACTAGACAATGGGCTTTGGAACTTCGACCCCAATGAGCATCAGATTGTAATCTGTGAGCATGATGAGAGATGAACACATTTAATTCATGATTCTTAAGTATTTCCAGAAAGAAAAAATAATATCTCTACCATGCTTTTAAAGATGCTAGTTTGGGCAATGACAATTTAGCCTCCTTTGTTTAGATCTTAATTTAGCTATATTGATAATATTGAAGTGAAAACTCAGAAAGTCTTCTTATTTCAGGTTTACTATAACTTCATGTCTCTTTAGCTTAGGGTCTAAATCCTCTGGTTCATTCTTGGATGACCTCAGACATCCTTTTAGAACACACATGTAGATATTAGGGTAATTGGATGTCCCTTTGCCTTGAAGCCCAGGAAGCAGTTAAGGTTGTGGAATAAACATGGCCCTTGTTTGAAGTTTGTTTTGGATTTAGAAGTCATCTTGCAACAGACGAGTTCACAGAGATGATGGCAGTAAACTAAATATTGGAAATGTGGGCAGAATTTGAGCTTCCGAATAAGTTTTCAAGTGGAAAAATATAAAATTCAACTGCACTCACGACCTCGGTTCTGGATGCCCCAAGTATCATTTCACAGTGCAAGTTTGAAAAGTCAGGATCCATAAGATATTGTCAGAATTCCCAGGCAGAGTCTTGCCCTAAAAACAGTTGGTTCCTCAGAAAAAAGAGGACTTTTTATTTGTTTTGAGATTTCTGAATCTGTGAAACCAAGGTGGGGAATCTGGCCCCTTTCCCTTCTCCATCTTCACCTCATCTGCATTCTGTGTTTCTTTAGGATGAATTCTATGTGAGGTAAAACCCAGGGCAGAGGGGCTACTTCAAAGCAAATGAGGCCCTTAATTTATCATAAAAAGAAGAGTGGTTGTTAAAGCTTTATTGGATTACAATAAAGGCTCCTAGCAGTGGGAGCCTGCGGTTTGCTTCCCGACATCACTGGGGGAGCTTGAAATCATAACCACAGATTATAGCGACGAGCTTCCAAATTTCCATATCCTAAGCAGAGATGCTGCCTTCCTGGAGCTCGTGTGGAATTGCATGCTCTGTGATTTCAGAATATGTATTGGAAAATTCTCTGTTTGGATATCACTTCAGGAGGGCTATGATTCTCCAATCACCTCTGCGGTCATAGCTCCAACATGCTTACAGAGACAAATGGGAAGGAAAAAAAGAAAAAACATAATAAACCATAGCGAACAAAAGATGTTTGTTCTAACTTCCCTCATCCTCTCCTGAATTCTTTCATTAATGTTCTTTAAAGTTCAGTAAAAGTTCTTACAAGGCCATCCTGGGATATAGCAGAGACATACATTCGTCTCCTAGGTCTACCTGGCTTATTACAAAGTTCAATTTTGTCATCTACACAGACAGACCTAATATCTCTCATAACTAGTCTGTGTGTATCTACATATCCTGTCTATATAACATGCATGCACACACATACATTAAATCTTAACATACATATATTAAAGTACATATATGCATTATACATACATGTATATATATGTATGTGTATTTATATGTATAACATACATATGTAGGTACATTTGTACTAATACGGACTAGTATTAATGCATTTATGTTAAATACAGTAATAATAATAGAAATATTAACTACACTTCTTTCTTATTTTCTTTTAAAAATTTTGTTCTTTCATATATTAATCCTGACCACAGTTTCTCCTCTGTCCTCTCTTCCCAGTCCCTTCCTTTATCCCTCTCCCCCCAGACCCACTTACCCATTTCTATACATGAAAGGGCAGGACTCCCATGGATATCGATAAAACATGGCATATCAGATTGCTTTAAGACTAGGCACATCTCATATTCAGGCTGGAGGAGGCAATCTAGTAGGAGGGAAAAGAGTCAGAGACAACCCCATCCCCAATGTTAGGAGTCCCTCAAGGACACCAAGCTATACAACCATAACATATATGCAGGCTCCCTGGTTGCTGGTTCAGTCTTTGTGAGACCCTATGAGCCCAAGATAGTTAATTCTGTGAGTTTTCTTATGGTGTCCTTGACCACCTTGGCTCCTAAAATCCTTCTTCCCCTCTTTCACAAGATTCCCTGAGTTCTACCTCATGTTTGGCTGTGGGTCTCTGCATTTGTTCTCATCAGTTGTTGGATGAGGCATCTCTGATGATGACCATGCTACAAGTAAAGCAGAGTTCTCTAGGAATAATTTCATTGGCTTCTTCTTCTTCTTCTTCTTCTTCTTCTTCTTCTTCTTCTTCTTCTTCTTCTTCTTCTTCTTCTTCTTCTTCCTCTTCCTCTTCCTCTTCCTCCTCCTTTTCTTCTTCTCTTCCTCCTCCTCCTTCTTTTTGTTTTACTGGTCATATTTGGTTCTATCCTAGATCTGGGCTATCCAGTCTCTTGTTCCTGACCCTCCAGGTAGTGTCAGGCATGGCTCCCCCCTCTTGGCATGGCATATCTAAACAGATATTGACCTGGAACTCAGACCACATTGTATCCTATGGAGATGAAGGAAGAAGTAGAACATACAAGCAGATGAATTTTGGGTTTAGTTCTTAAACACCCATCACCGGCAATGTACTGAAGGCTTGGTTGGTTCTATGGTACCATGGAGGCAACTGAAGTTTTAGGAGGTGGGGCCTAGCAGAAGGAAGTGAAGTCCTTGAGTCCAAGCCTGGGAAGGGGATAGCAGGACCTCAACCCTTCCTTTTTGTTCTCACTTCCTGGCTGCCATTAGGGGGCAGCTTTGCTCTTTCAGGGACATCTCACCACGTTCTGCCTTGCCAAGGGACCAAAGCAACTGGACCACATGACCATGGGACATCCTTCTGAAACCATGGGACAAGAAAACAAACAAAAACAAAAAGCAAAAAAACTCATTTTTTTTTTCTCCTTTAAAGTCAGTTTGTCAGGTGTTTCGCATAACAATTTAAAACTAAGTTATTTTTTCCTATATATGATATTTGATTGGACAGATAAAGAAAAGTTATGTCATCAATTGTACTGCATTTCCTTCCCAGGTTCTGCATGTATATAGTTATGTGTTTTTGTGTATGTGTGTCTTTGTAAGATGACCTATGTGCACTTGTGTGTGGCCAGAGGTCAATGTCAGGCACTATTCCCTATCAGTCTCCATCATTTGTGTGTCTGTGTGTGTGTGTGTGTGTGTGTGTGTGTGTGTGTGCATGCGCGCGTGTGTTGTGTGTGTGACAGGATTTCTTACTTGACCTGGTTCTTACCATTTCATCCGGTCAGTGATCTCCTGGTACCCCCATTTCTGCCTCTGGGTACTGGCCAGTGAAACCCCAGCATCTTCCTTTTATTGCTTTTCCCTGTGTCTGGATTACAGACCTGTATTACCATGCCTGGCCTTTACACTGAAACTGCAGCCTGAATTGCCTTTGACCGCCCAGCCTCAGGACTATGCCAACACTACAGGGGTGCTTTGTCCCACTTTTCACATCTCTAGAGAATCATGCTCATCCTCCTTGGGAATGGGAATATGTGTCTGAGAAGATGGGGCTTGTCTTTTACGGGCTCTGATGACAACTTGCGTTTTATACTTCTGAAGCTTCCAGTGGTTGGTTAGGATATCCCTTTGTGAAAGGTTCGTGCCACATAAAACCCAGGAGTACATGCCATGGAGACGTTATGTCACAGCCAGGGAAATCCAGAAGAGCCTGAGGACACTTTCTCAACGTATCTCTGCAGTGTCACCACTGGTTTCCTGAACCAGGATAAGCACCTCTTATTTTTGTTCACTGATTTGCCTTACTCCCTCCCACTTCCCTTTCACCCCTCACCTTATTGACTCTGGCTTTCCTCATTGTATGCTCCAGACGGTGGTGAGAGCTCAGCCTTGACACAGCCGTGAAGACACTTTGAAGGGATGGCTCGGCTCTGGTTCCCTTGGCAGGTTGCTGGCTTGTACCGGGACGACAACAGCTCTCAGTAACAGCTGCTGCTCAGCCTGGGTCTGGAATGTGAGGACACTTGGGATGATGCAAAGCCAGAAGCCCCACAGCACTCAGATGACAAAGGGAAATAAATACGTGTTGCCTTAAGCCACTAACACATTGGAGTTGTTTATTGCCACAGGAAAGGCTGACTAATTTTAGAACCCCGTGTCCTTCCGTGTCTGTCCTTGTCACTGCCAGTGAGGCTGCTTCCTAAAGCTCATTTTCCTTGTGGTTGGAGAAAAGGCTGTGGCAGATTCAAGTCACCTCCAGATGTGACAACTTCCAGAGGCAGAAAAGGGGCCACCTCGCTCTGTGTTTTCTTAAGACTAGAGACACGCTTTGCACACGTTCCACGGATCCTCTGTCATGCCAATGAGAAATGGGTCGTAGGTCTGTCCTCTAGACTGCACAGTTGTCAGGGAGTACGGTGTCAGCTGTGACTTATCTATGTCAATCAGGGTCAGCCCCCAGGGGTGGGGGGGGGGAGTAGCTGGGTCTGTTCTTAAATCACATCTGTGAGGTGGGATGCGGGTGGCAATAGTTAGGTACTTAATCAAAACCAGACCTTTGAAAAGGGGAAAAAATAAAAGTTCAAAAGGTCTGATGTTTCCTACAATGACTTCTGCGACTTCCTTGTGTCTTCACTCTCCTGGTTCTCAGAGGCCCTGGCTTACTTCTCTGTTATTTCCTCTTTCCTTCCCTTTCCCTTTCCCTTTCCCTTTCCCTTCCCTTCCCTTCCCTTCCCTTCCCTTCCCTTTCCCTTTCCCTTCTCTTCCCTTCCCTTCCCTTCTCTTTCCTTTCCTCCTTTCCTCCTCCTTTCCTTCTCTTTCCTTCCTTCCATCCATTCTTCCTTCTCTCCCTTTCTTTCTTTATCTCTGTGTAGGTGTGTGTGTGTGTGTGTGTGTGTGTGTGTGTGTGTGTATGCGTGTGTGTGTAATGTGTGCACATAGAGGTTGCAGTTCAATCCCAGATGTCACTCCTCATAGTCATCTACCTTGTTTCTTGTGAGATAAGGTGTCACATTAGGGCTTGATTATCACCAGTTAAGCTAGGCCTGACTCTGCCTCCTCAGTGCTGGGAATCCAGCTTGTGCTACCATACACCACTTTGAGCAGGTTGGGCTCCCATACTCCTGGTCCCATGTGAGCACTCAACAAGGTAAGCTGCCTTTCTGGCTCACTTCCACTTTTTCTCTGTTTGTTTGTGGTTCTCCCCCCCCCCAAGATTTCCTTCATATATGAGCTATTCAGGGGTGAGAGACTATGGCAGAAGTTTCATGGAAGAAAACCATTTTGTTTTTCACTTTAAGCCTGGAGAGGATCAAGTCACTTTGTATCGGGGACACCTCTGACCCTGAGCAGGTATGCGTTCATGCAGACCCAGAATCACTTCTCTGCTGAATCCCAGAGACTCCTAGAGTGTCACGCTTGGGCGACTGAAGAGAAGGGGACAGCTTTTCATTTTCAATTGGAAAGGTTTGAATTTGAGTACAGACCAGGAACTCCAGGCTGTGCGATCTTTCTCAGTAAGAACACTTCGTTTAGATTATGCTCATGTAATGAGAAACACAGTTTCCTGGGAAACCCAGTCCCTACCCCCAAGAGTCTTATTCTCAAAACCCCAAAGTGAGAACCCTGAATGTGGGCTTTGAGGAGGCACCAGGGAATGAAGTCAAGCCGGAACCCGAAGAGGAACCCACTCTTCCGCTGATATGCCAGGAGCCTTTTTACTTTTTAGAAAACAGCCTGCATGTTTTGAAAGTGTTGGGAAAATACGTCTTAGGAGCAACCTCTTTTTTAACTGCCAAGTGTAAAGCAACCTCTCTGCAATGGTTCTGGATGAACTATTTAATGTCTCCCTCAGCAGGCCGACAGTCATCTTCACTTGCCCATCCAACACATGTTACAAGGCCTCAGCGCATGCCACATCTACCCACCCAAAAATAGACTGTGCTTTTTCTTTGTATATTTACATTTGTGATAATTTGTTTTTGGTTTGGCTTTCCTTAATTTTGAAAGAGTTAGCTATTTTTACTTTATGTGTATGAGTGTTTTGCCTGCATGTAGGTATGTCTGTGTATCTCTTGAGAGCCTAGGGCCTGCAAAAGCCAGGCAGAGAAAGTATTCTTGATTTGTCCTTAATAACTCAAGACATATTTATAAATTCTTTTGAGTGTCCACATCTTTTTCTTTATTTATTTTTTATTATTTATTTTTATTAATCATTTTTTTACTTACTTTACATCTCATCCAAAGTTTCCTCTCCCTCCTCTCCTCCCATACCCCACCCCTACCTCCCCTTTGCCCATTGTGCCCCCCCCCCCATCCACTTCTCTGTTTCTCTTCAGAAAGGGACAGGTCTCCCATGGGTGTCAACAAAGCATGGCATGTCAAGTTGTGGTAGGACGAAGCTCCTCCCTTTGTGTTAAGGTTGTGGAAGGCAACCCAGTATGGGGAATAGGTTCCCCTCAGACCAGACTAAGTGTTATGGACAAGTCCTGATCTCACTGCTAGGAGTTCCACAAACAGATCAAGCTACACACCTGGTCTTTTGTTATTGTTTTTTGATACAGGGTTTCTCTGTGTAGCCCTGGCTGTCCTGGGATTTGCTCTGTAGACAAGGCTGGGCTCGAACTCAGAGAGATCCTCCTGTCTTTGCTTCATAAGTGGTGGGTTTAAAAGCTTTAACCACCACCACCTGAAGATCGATTTTTTAAATGATTTTTTTATTTATTTTATATAACTAAGTCCATTTAAATGAAAACAAACATTTATAGACAATATTTTGGAATTTGGGCTTCATTCTTTCCAAACTACTTCCTGCTGGTAAGGGGTGCTGGGGGATTCTAAGAAGATGCAGAAATCCTGGCTGTAGTCTTTAAGGCTGCTTTGTCCAGCTGTTTTGAATGTAGGATCACCTGGTACTCTGTTTCAGGCGGCCTGGCTTGATCAAACCACATTAGTCTGGAAGGAGTCCATAACTTTTCATTTTCTGTGGAAACAAAAATAGAAATCCTTTCCCCCAGTAACTTGCCTTGAACTTAAATTTTGGAGTCAAAACATTTTTTTTAAATTTAATTTGTTATTTTACATGTCGATCCCAGTTCACTCTCCCTCCCTCCCTCCCTCACTTTTACCCTCTCTGCCCTCTCACATGCACCCTAACCACCCTCCCCTCCCATCCCCCCACCCCAATTCCATATGTAGGGGAATGCCATCCAGTTGGGGTCATGTAGCTCTGACAGGTCCTGTGAAGTAGGGACTAGGGCTTCTCTCCTGTCTCTAGGTTAAGTCAGTTATCCCTCCATGGGACATGTATTCACAAGGTCCTTTTGTGCACCAGGGATACATCCTGGCTCCACTGTCTGAGGTCCCTAGACTGCTCAGTCATTCTGGCTGAGACCCATATTCAGGGGGGCCTGAGTCAGTTTCATGCTGGCTTCCCAGCTATCAGTCTGGTGGCCTGTTAGCTCCTCCTTGTTCAGGTAAGCTGTCTCTATGTGTTTCTGCCACCTGGTCTTGTCCTCTCCCTTTGCATCTGGGTTCTAGTTCGACTCAGTGTTTATGTATGGGTGTTTGCTCCTGTTTCCAACAGGTATTAGATGAGGGCTCCATGGGTAAATTAGTTGTTGATCTCACTATCCCGGAAGGGCACTTATGGTAGCCTTTCCACTGATGCTCAAATTGTTTTGGCGGCAGTCTTGTAGTTCTCTAGACCTTTGTGTTCTATTTTATCTTCAAACCAATGTTGGCTCCCTCTTTTATGTTCTCTCTCTCTCTCCCTCTCCCTCTCTCTCTCTCTCTCTCTCTCTCTCTCATCTTCTATTCTTGATCAGGCTCAATCTTCCTAGTCGCACGTGTTTTGCTTTCCTCCCCCTCGTTTTCTCCTACTTCTCTCTCCATTCGCTGCCCCCCCCCAACTTCCCCTGTGCTCTGGGGAACTTGTCCCTTCCCGGTTCTGTAAGGGACATTATATGCATCTCTTAGAATACACCTTGTATCCTAGTTCCTCTGGTGGTGTAAATTATAGGCTGGTGATCCTTTGCTCTAGGTCTAAAATCAATATATGAGCGAGCACATACCATGTTCCTCTTTTTATGACTCAGTTACCTCATTCAGGATGGTTTCTTCAAGTGCCATCCACTTGCCTGCGAATTTCAAAATACCATTATTTTTTTTTCTGCAGAGTAGTATTCCATTGCGTAGATGTGCCACATCTTTTTTATCCATTCTTCAATTGAGGGGCATCTAGGTTGCTTCCAGGTTCTTGCTATTATAAATATTGCTGCTATGAACATAGTTGAACAGATGTCTTTGTTGCATGGATGTGGATCATTTGGATATATGCCTAAGAGGGGGATTGTCGGGTCCTGTGGTAAACAAATTCCCATTTTCCTGAGGAACCGCCATACTGATCTCCAAAATAGCTGTATGAGTTTGCACTCCCACCAGCAGTGGAGGAGTGTTCCCCTTTCTCCACATCCTCTCCAGCATAAGTTGTCATTGGTGTTTCTAATTTTAGCCATTCTGGCAGGAGTAAGATGGTATCTCAAAGTTGTTTTGATTTGCATTTCCCTGATAGCTAAGGATGTGAAACACTTTCTTAAGTGTCTTTCAACATTTTGATTTCCTCTATTGAGAATTCTTCCTTCAGTTCTGTACCCCATTTTTTTTAAATAGGATTATTTGGTGTTTTGTTGACTAGTTTCTTGAGCTCTTTGTATATTTTGGAGATCAGCCCTTTGTCGGATATAGGATTGGTGAAAATCTTTTCCCAGTCTGTGGGCTGCCGTTTGGTCTTGTTGACTGTGTCCTTTGGCTTACAGAAGCTTCTAAGTTTGAAGAGGTCCCATTTATTAATTGTTGCTCTCAGTGTCTGTGCCCCTGGAGTTATGTTCAGGAAGCGGTCTCCTATACCAATTT